TGCCCTGAGGTTGTTTGGGAACCTGAAGGAGTAGTTTAGGCATGAACCTTTAAAAGATCTCTGAAGCTAAGAACCAACAGGAAAGCAGCACCATAGTATTTAGGTTTTTGTAAGAACAAAATATGAAGGGCAATCAATTTATCAAGATAAGGTCTCTAACAATTAGGGCAATGAAACTAAAGGTACAAAAGAAGTATGCTTTATGTGTGTTTTTCCTCCAATAACTGGCATACTTTAGGACAGGGTATGGCAGGTGAGGGCGGGCAGGAAGCAACTGGGACTGGGAACTTGACCATCCCATGGGGCTGGGGCGAGCACAGGGGACAGGAGCTGCAAGTCCAGCCTTGACTCTTGTCACCTAGTGAGGTTGGTGCATCTCCCAAACAGACCTTCAGCTCCCCCTTCTCTGTCTGCTCTGCCACTGGGCCAGCTCCAGTCCCCACCATGTTTCACTAGTCTCTCCACCCCCTGGGCTCACCCCCTCACTGCCCCCAACTCACCTCTATTCATCCTCCATCCTCCTATAATGTTAAAAGTCATTTTTTAAAATTACACTATGCTGGGCACCTGGGTGGCTCAGTCGGTTAAGCATCTGCCTTGGGCTCAGGTCATGATCCCAGGATCCTGGGATCAAGCCCCGCATCGGGCTCCCTGCTCAGCGGGGAGCCTGCTTCTCCCTCTGCCTCTGCCTCTCTCTCTCCATCTCTCTCTGTCTCTCATGAATAAATAAATAAAATCTTTGAAAAAAAAATTACACTCTGCTGCTCCCGCCCCTTCCCTCCCTTGAAACTTTCATTGGCTTCCTATAGCTCCTCCTTTAAAGGCCAGACTCCTTAGCATAGCAACGTCGTGGGGTGTGACGACTCCTTAAATACCCACCCAGCTGCTCACCCACCACCCTTTCTCACACTCCCCAGCTTCCTTCCAAACCAAATCAGAGACCTTGGACATAGCTCTTTAAGGCCAGTGGTCATCCCAATTTTATGGTCATACAAATTATTTGAACTTGTTTTAAATACCGTTTCCTGGGCCATGTCCTCATAGGATTATGATCCAGAGGACCAGTTCCGAGAATCTGAAATTTCGTAAGCACTTGGCCAAGTCAAGGTCAGGAGCCACACTGTATGATACCCCGGATCACACGGTAGTCCACTTCTTCCCCCTGGTATCTGCCCCCGACTAGAAGTCCCTGGAAGGAGCAAGCTTCGGGTCTTTTTCAGCTGTGTTTCCCCAGGACCCAGCACAGTGCTCAGCATGCACTAAGCTCTTGTGTGGTAGGTGAATAAGTGAATCCCAACAGAGCCAGTATCTTGAAAATGAGGCAAAGGATAGGAGTCAGGGACTGGGGCCCTCAGGACAGGGGTCCGGAGAGCACTAGTTCAGGGCCAAGAAATGTTGGAGATGCGAGGGTCATTGGAAGAGTTGCCGATAAAACGCTGGGCACTGGGCACAAGGTGGAAGGAGGATCTTGCTCTGTGGGGGTGACAGGGAGGGGGGTTGACAGTGGCACACCAAGGCAGAGCTGCTTGCCCAGGGAAGGAGAATGGGACTCTTAGCTTAAAAGGCGTCTGGGAGAACTGGGCTAGACAATGGGTCTCAGGCTGGGTAAGGGTGGTTCGGTTCAGAGTTGCAGATTATTGCTCTAGAAAGCAGCTGTTGCCAATGTTGTCTGCAAATTAGGTTCACCTGGAGCAGTGGTTTTGGAAGCACAAGAACAAAAGTCAGATTTTCACGTTCCGACCCAGAGTCACTGAGTGAGACTCTGGAGATGCATGGAGGGGACAGAGAAGTCTTTATAGCAGGAGTCCTGAAACGATCATCATGTGTCCGTGTACAAGGTACCCCCCGCCCCCTATAATCGCACTGCTTGTTACTCACTGGGCCATTCTATTTAAAGGATCACATTTGTTTTTTGTTTTAGCTCAAGGAAACATTTTCTATTATTATTCCTTTGCTTATCTCTTCTGCTCTGTCTCTGTTCTCTTTGTAACTTCTATTAGATGGATGGTGGAATTTCTGGGTGTAACTTCGATAGTCTCCTAACTTTTAGTATTTCCATTTCTTTTTTCTTTAGTATAGTGTTCTGGAACAATTTCTCAGCCTACTCTGCTAGCGAAGGGCTGTTATTCAGCACGTCTACAGAGATTTATGTTTCGATGACTGTATTACTCATTTCCAAGATCTCTAAATACTTATCATCACAACACTTTGCTTGCTTAAGGAATCACAGTACCATCTCTTCATTCTTGAGAATATTCCACGTACAGTACTTCTTTCAAGATTTTCTTGTTTATTTTATTTATACTGTTTCTTCAGATATTGGTTTTTAGATTTGTTTAGTTTGGTTTTCCTTTCATAATTTGGGTCTCCCTTAACTATTTGGTGAATCTGGACTGTGGACTGATTTTTGTATTCGATAACGTTTTTTCTTCTAGATCAGGGCCGGCAAACTGTGACCCATGGGCCAAATCAGGCTGCTGCTTGTTTTGAAAATGAAGTTTTTTTGGAACACAGACATGCTCATTCATTTCCATAACATCTATGACTGCTCTCGTGCCAGGATGGTGGCACTGAGTAGCCCGCAAAGCCTAGAATATTATCAGGCCCCTTACCAAAAAAGTTTGCCAACGCTGCTGGATCTAGCCATCACTTTATAGGAAATACAGCTCAAAAGAGGAACATGGCGATCAATGTCCATACATCAACCAAAGCAGGCTACAAGTTATTTTATAAGACAAAAGACTCAGTTTCTTCACAAATAAATTGCATAAAAAGAAAAAAAGAAGAGGAAATTAACGTGGATTAAACAATATTTAATAGAAAAGAAGCCAGACACAGAAGTCCACATTATGGTATGATCTCATTTGTATGAAATTGTCCAGAATAGTCAAATCTATATATAGAGAAAATAGTGGCTGCCTAAGGCTGGGGGTTTGGGGGAGAGTGGGAGTGACTCCTAATGAGTTTGGGTTTCTTTTTAGGATGATGAAAATGTTGTAGAGTCAATTGAGATAATGGTGTCACAACTTTGTGAATATACTAAAAATCACTAAACTGTATACTTTGAATTATATAGGATATGAATTACATCTCAAGTTGCTATAAAATGATTAAGTTATAATTTTTTTTTTCCTTGTGGAAAAATATTCTTTTTGAAATACAGAGTAAACCCTTGTTTGACATTCTAGGACTATACACATATCTTGGTATGGAACGGATTCTGCCCTTGAAATATGCAGCTATTATGTGTGGGTATGGAAGTCGAGAAAAAACATCTATGCTATTTGAAAAGGATCAAAATTGATTAAGGCCTAGTCCTACCTGTCAAAAATAATATATAGAGATCAATATTAATAAGTAAAGAAAAAAAAAAGAAATACCAGTCAAAAGCAATGTGTGACCCTTGCTTAGATCCTAATTGAAATAAGTGAACCATAAAGCAAATTTTGAAACAGGTGGTGGGGGGGAGTGGGAAACTGAACATGAACTAGTGTTTCTGATTTTTACTGATATGAAACAACTGACCTTACCACTTAGTGGTATAAAACAACAACCATGTCATGTTCACAGTTTCCGTGGATCAGAAATTTGGAAAAGGGGTGCCTGGGTGGCTCAGTTGGTTAAGCAGCTGTCTTCGACTCAGGTCATGATCTCAGGGTGCTGGGATCGAGCCCTGGTTCAGGCTCCATGGAGTCTGCTTGGGATTCTCTCGCTCCAGCTCTCTCTGCCCCTCCCTGCACGCCTCCCGCACTATCTCTAAAATAAATAAATAAATCTTTAAAAATAAATAAATAGTCCTTTATGTGTTAGAGTCACACTTAGTATTTGTGAGTGAAATGATATGGTCCTTGGGATTTGCTTTAAAATGCCCCAGAAAAAAATTAAAGGTGTACATAAAACAGGAATGACGGAATGGGGGTGGTTGTGGAAGCTTGGCAGTGAGTACAGGTTCTCTGTAATATCCTCTTAATCCGTATGTGTTTGAAATTTTCCTATGTGAAAAAAGGGAAGAGAATCTGGTTTTGCCTGTTTCTGGACGTTCTTTCTTTCTACCTGTAGCAGATGCGCGTGAGTCGGAGCCCCAGTCCTGAGCAGGCAACACCAGTCACTCATCCCCCAGGTCTAGGGGCTCCCTGTACTTTCTGGGTGTCACCGCCGCCCTGAGGCATTTTCCTGCCTCTTCCTTCTAAGCGCTTACACTCACTGTTCTAGCCTGAGGCAAATAACCCAACAGGCCTACTTCTTGGCGTAATTTTGTGGTGGGAGGGACCTACCAGCCTGGTGACCTGGATTGGGTTATTAGAATCTTCCCATGGCTGCCCCAAGGCTCCCTCCTGTTCACTGTATCTGTTTCCATCGTGTTTGGAGCGCAGGACCAGTGGATTCCACAGGTGCATCTGTCTCCCCTGAACGTGGTTTCACATGTAATTTGCTTTGTCAACGTAGTCTTCTCTGCTTCCCCTATTTCAAGGGTTCCTTAAAATTTCTGATTTGATGGTAACATGCTTTTTATAGCATTATTAACGTTTGAACTGACCTCCCAAACCTCCCCACCGTCCCCAAAACCCCACTTGTCTGTCATGTTTTAGAGATGTTGGTTGTTGGAATGGAAAAATATTCACGAGCACTGGGTTGGCCATTTTAATTCAATATTCCTAAGCTTTTTCAGTGCATTATAACCAAACAATATGTATACCATTCTGCATCTTGCGGGTTTTAAAATCTTCCGTTAGAATGAAATATTTTCCGTTTTATTGAAAACTACTTGCAATAATAATTATTCATAATTGTGTCATATCATATCTTATATGTATCCTGTAATTTATAATTTCTGAACATTTACATTCAGAGCCTTTTCAACTTTTTGATATTAAGTATAATGAGTAGGATAAGTATCTTTGCTTCAATATTTACTCTCAATATTAATTTTATTTCCTTAGAATAAGTTATAAAACATGAAATTACAGTGAAAGAACATGATCTCTCTCTTTTTTTTAAAGATTTTATTTATTTATTTGAGAGAGAGAGAGCACACGAGCAGAGGGAGAAGAGAGGACAGAGGGAGAAGCAGACTTCCCGCTGCAGGGAGCCCAATGCGGGACTCGATCCCAGGACCCTGAGATCATGACCTGAGTTGAAGGCAGCTGCTTAACCGACTGAGCCACCCAGGTAACCCAAAAGAACATGATCTTTAAAATGATTTTTGATATCTATTGCCAAATTTATCTTCAAATTATTTCTGTCCACTTATGATTTTCCTTGCCACCCCCAGCACTGTAGGAGATTCCATTTCATCTGTTATTAATCTTTAGAACTGTTTTAATCTTTGCCAACTTGATAAGCACTAAATGATATCTCGTTTTTATGCTCTTCTATTATTTTTCCACACAAATTTCAGAATAATTTTACAAAATAAAGAGAGAGAGGAGGAAGAGAAGGGAGGAGGAGAAAGAAGAGAAGACAGAGAAAACTAAAGAATTCTTTTCCCCTTAGGATTTTTTTTGGATTAAAAAAATCCCAAAGTGCTTAAAAATGACATACATAATACATTAATATACTATTATTTAGGAAATCAAACATCAAAAGTATATAGGAAGGAAAATTTTTAATTCCCTCTTTATCCCCTCCCCCCTTCAACTGCCCTCCCCTCTCCAGAGATAAAATTTTTAGTGTTTTTTGAAAAAATCTGTATGAATTTTTATTTATATGTGTAGACATATATAATTTTTGTTAAATTGATTGTTTTGCTTCTTTTTTTTCTATTCTTGCCTTGGAAATTATACATACTATCTCTATTCCTCTAATAGTTATTCTTAAAAATGAAGTACTTCATTAAACATAACAATATCTAGAATTAAACCATGGCTGTATCCTTTCCAAATAATAAGACAAAGCCTTAGGTAGTCTTTATTTCTCTTTTACTTCCACTTCTGACCATAAGAAAATCATCTAGGATTTTTTTTTTTTTAAGATTTTATTTATTTATTTTAGAGAGAGAATGTGCAAGTGGGAGGTAGGGGCAGAGGAAGAGGGAGAGAGAGAATCTCAAGTAGACTCCACACTGAGTGCGGAGCCTGATGCAGGGCTGGATCTCATTACGCTGAGATCATGACCTGAGCTGAAATCAAGAGTTGGATGCTTAACTGACTGAGCCACCCAGGTGCCCCTCATCTGGGATTTTAATTCAAGGTTTTCATCAATCTTTTTACATTGCATATTACAATTATTTAGACTTAATTACCCACCTTTCTACATAAGGTTTTTTGTGCCCCACTTTTTTTCCTTTTTTACTAACAAGTTTTATTTTTCTGAAGTATGTTCTTTTTTTTTTTAAGATTTTATTTTTAAGTAATTCTATACCCAATGTAAGGCTTGAACTCACAACCCTGAGATCAAGAGTCACATGCTTTACTGACTGAGCCAACTGGGTACCTCATGAAGTATGTTCTTAAGTAATTTTCAGAAAGGAGAGGATAAACTTTCTGCAACATTTCATGTTCAAGGAAGTGTTTATTTTATCCTCTCACTTGAATGCTAGCTGATATAATTTTAGATTAAAAATTCTTTTGTCTGATATTTTTGAGGATTTGCTCTATTATTGTCCTCTATAATCCAGTGTTGTTGATAAGAAAACTCTTAACAAATTCCCTGGGTTTTTTTGGTTGTTTGGTTGGTTTTTAAATGAGAGACTTCTTCCTTTTTATAATCTTTTATGCTTTATTCTCATGGTGCAATGCATAATTCTCAGAATGAGTGCCTCCTTACAGCTTCATCCCAGGCCCAGCCCTGAAGCCAGACATTGTATATTCTCTAAAAAGAGTAGTAAACAAGGTCAGCAGGGTCTCTGTCTGCAAGGAGGTTACATTTGAGGGTTGGGCTGAGAGAGACACGACAATAAACAAATGAATAAATGAAAGAATTAAGGTTAAAAAAAAAAGGGAACATGTTGCTCTAATAGAGAACAAGGGATTGAATGTATAGTTCTTTAAGATGAGGTTAACATTTAGGAACATATAGATTTGTATGTGTGTGTCTTACCTTCTCTTTTCCATTTTCTACCTTTTGTTTCTCCATGCTACATTCTGGACATTTTCTTCTTAGATATCTTTGGGTTCACTAATTTTTTGCTTCTTTGTCTAATCTGCTGTTAAACCTGTTAAGAGTTAACCTGAGTTCTTAATTTCAATTACTGTATTTTCAGTCCTATAATTTTTATTTATTTGATTTTCAAGTCTGAAGTGTCACTTTTATAGTTCATAGGTTTTTGCCAAAATTTTAAAGCTTATCTTTTATCTTCTGAACATAGTAAACATGGTTGTTTTATAATCTGTGTAATATCTATTAGAATCTAAAATATCTCTGTGTTGGTTTCTGTTGTCTGTTATTTCTGTTGGTTCTTGCCCATAGTGTTTTGTCTTTTTCATGTGACTAGTTATTCTTGATTGTGTTCTAAACATCTTTTTTTTAAAAAAAAGATATTATTTATTTATTTAGAGAGCAAGCGGCAGGAGGGGCAGAGGGAGAGGGAGAGAGAATCTCAAGCAGACTCTGTGCAGAGTGCAGAGCCCAATGCAGGGCTTGATCCTACGACCATGAAATCATAACCTGAGCTGAAATCAAGAGTTGGACACTTAACCGACTGAGCCACCCAGGTGCCCAGTAAACTTGTAGAAATAGTTTGAGGCCTGAAATAATGTTATCTTCAGCATGAGACCAGTTTCGCTATTTTCTGTATCACATGAGTGTGTTAGTAGTCTGGAGTCACCTTAATCAAGCATGTATTGACTGAAATTGTTACCCCTATGGGTGATATAAAACTGGGCAGAATCTGGGTGAGGGCTGATTTACTCCAGTTTACCTTTACTCCCAGGGTGCAGTCCTTCAGGGTCCTAACTCAAAGGAGGGGTGGAGGATATATTTTATCAGAGAACTGGGATGATCCTGTTTGATTTTTTGTATTCCTCATCCCAGAGAAGCTGTCAGTATCACAGTCGTCCTCTCAGCCTTTTTTTTCTCCAGATTGGCCAGTGTCCCCTGCACAAAAGTAGTGTCAGTGCCAGGCTCACTTCTCTGGATTCATGTCTTTTTCTGGATCTTGGTACTTGAAATAAAAGTTTCTTTTTCTGGGGTGCCTGGGTAGCTCAGTCAGTTAAGCATCTGATTCTTGGTTTTGGCTCAGGTCATGATCTCAGGGTCATGAAATCAAGCCCTGAATTGGGCTCCATGCTTAGCTCAGAGTCTGCTTGAGATTCTCTTCCTCTCCCTCTGCCCCTCACTCACTGTCTCTCTCTCTCTCTCAAATGAATAAATAAATCTTAAAAAAAAAAAAGAAGAAGTTCCTCTTTCTGACAAACTCAAAACAAGCTTTATTTTGCCAAAAGAAAAATAAAACCTCCCTATGAAACCTCTTTATGGAACTCCCTCTGCACCTTCAGCAAGGGTTTCCAAACCTGGATGATTAACAGAGTCACTTGAGGAGCCTTTAAAATGGCCCAATCCTGGGAGGTGTGTACCTTGGTAGGTGAAGACTTTCTCATGTTCTGTGATCACAAGTGGTTTTAAGATAGTCTCCAGATCCCCAATGTCCACATATATTTTTTCCTAAGAAACCACTTGTAATTAGGTATTCCCTTTCATGGAGCCATTTTCCTACTAATAGCTACCGAAGCCAAACTAGCCAATTGAAGTACACAGTCCTTCTGCCTTGAGTGGTTTCAGTATATCAACATAACTGAAACAAGGATAATCAGACTCCTGTGTGGGATTTTTTTCAAGGGCCATCAGGAAAGATTTGTACCTTCCACTGTGGTGATTTATTTTATTTATTGTTATTGAAAACACTATGGATATGCATTATGATAAATTATTACACTTTCTTTTTTATTGCATTTTCTTTTTAAACATTTTAAATATTTTACATGTAACTCCAAATGATTCTTAAATTCATAGCTTCCCACTGGTATCTTTGTTTCTCTTAGTTGTTGAAGAGTAATGATATTTTTAGTTGGTTCTGAGCATTGTCAAACACTGATATTTTTGGAGTTGTCTTTCTGGCATTTAAGAAAAAGCCCAGGAGAACTTGGAGCTGACCTAATGGCATGTCATTGGGTGGTTACAGATTTTCCTCTTGCAGTAGAACAATGCTTCCTTTTGCCAACTGCCTTAATTTCCTGCTGTATCAATAAAAAATCAATGATAATAGTCTATTATGTGGATTTTCATTTATCCTTTTTTTTTTTAAGATTTTATTTATTCATTTATTTGAGAGAGTGAGTGAGAGAGAGAGAGAGAGAGCACATGAGAGGGGGGAGGGTCAGAGGGAGAAGCAGACTCCCTGCCAAGCAGGGGCCCGATGCGGGACTCGATCCCGGGACTCCAGGATCATGACCTGAGCTGAAGGCAGTCGCCCAACCAATTGAGCCACCCAGGCGCCCCTTCATTTATCCTTTTTATGTTTAAGTTCAACATTTCCCCACAACCAACAAACAGATGGCCTACTCAAGTGATTCAAGTGCAATTGCTAAGAGAATTTGTAACGAAGAGTTTTATGGGCCTTAACAATTAGTCAGGAAAGCCAAATACCATTTAAACCTTTACCTATTTCTAACTCTTCCTAAAATCCATTGCATATTACAAAAGGAATGTCAATTGTACTATTATTGTAGAAATAGTAATCCTTTTGTCTCAGGATCTTAACTGACCCATAGATTAAATTTAAGTTGTCTTAGGACAAATATAAGAAATCACCCAATGCTTTTAAAAATGATGATATATTGGGGCACCTGGGTGGCTCAGATGGTTAAGCGTCTGCCTTCGGCTCAGGTCATGATCCCAGGGTCCTGGGATCGAGTCCCGCATCGGGCTCCCTGTTAAGTGGGGAGCCTGCTTCTCTCCCTCTGCCTCTGCCTCTCTCTCTCTCTCTGACTTTCATGAATTAAAAAAAATAAAAATAAAAAAAAATGATGATATATCAGAAAGATCACCATAAAATGTGCAATGACAGGATTGAAATTGCACTCACTTTGGTCAATTACAGTAGTTGCTGTTACTCATCATCATTGACATCAGTTCTAATAGCTAACACTTATTTAGCATTTACTTGTGCCAGATACTGGACCAAGTGCTTTACTTGCATTATTACATTTAATCCTAGCATAAGAACAATATACTTTTATTTACCCTATTTTACAAATGAGGTAGCTGAGATGTAGAGAGATTAGGTTATAATACCAAGTATTATAACAATTAATTAATTAATTAATTAATGTACAGTCTGCATTCAAATCTGGATTTGTATGAGTCCAGAGCCTATTTAGATGAAATATGATTATAAGGGCTTGCCTATATATTCATTAAGCTCAGATACAATAATGGAAAAACTTAAAATGATAGCAGGTTAGTTTATCCATTCTCTTGTGTTTAAGAGGAAGGAGTCCGTCCAGAGCTGGTGTGGTATTCCACAGTATTAGGGAATCCAGCTTCAATTATCTTGTTGCTCTGCCAATGTGTGGCTTCTATTTCTAAAGTCACCTTCTGGCTCAGGATGGCTGCTGGAGCATCAGTCATCACATCTGCATTCTAGGAAGTAGGAATTCACATACCAGTTTTATTTTATGCCTTTGGTTTGAAGCTAGTCACAAGGTCACATCAAGCTTCAAAGAAGGCTAGGATAGGTAGTCTTCATTCTGGGCAGCAGTATGCTCTGCTGAAACTCAGGAAGAGGGGAAAATAAATATGGAAAGTGGTTCAATGACAGTACCTACTCATGTCTTATTTTTAGCTGCTTTTCCATAATTTTTGTGAATAGAAGAGTCTTATATTTTTACATTCAGTAATAGTCATATCATTGTTTTAAAAAATCAACTCAGAAGAACATCACTAAAATGTTGCTTATTATTTTACATTCAGTCATTTCACAAAACAAACTAGACCCCTGAATCTAACATAAATAAAGCAGAAGCTCAGCATTATCATTTATCTGCCACACAGGGGTCAGTCCTGCCTTTAATACTAACATTAGAAGAGGGTTTTGCTATCAAGGAATATTCTAACAGGCATGTTTTTATTCTGTCTTGGTAATTATCTTCTTCTGAACTATTGACTAGAAGCCATGAGAGAACAAGTTTCCTAGCTTCTGATTCTCTCCTTTATACTGTGCTGCCAAAATCTAAGCTGGAATGTGTACAACCGTGAACATTCACTCCTACAATAAAAAATTCCAGGTACTATTCTGGGAATCTCATTAATAACTCTAATAGTTTTATAATTCTATGCTCTTGTTTACTTGTGAAACGTTTTACATGCATGCCATTGCTTTGATAGTCATCGCCGAGAATATACATGTACATAAGCACGGAAGTCCTGAAGGAATGATGGAGCCTTTTTTTTTTCCATTTGACAAAGTATTTTCTTTTTTTTTTAAAAGATTTTATTTATTTATTTGACAGAGAAAGACACAGCGAGAGAGGGAACACAAATGGGGAGTGGGAGAGGGAGAAGCAGACTCCCTGCCGAGCAGGGAGCCCGATGCGGGACTCGATCCAGGGACTCCAGGATCATGACCTGAGCCGAAGGCAATCGTTTAACCAACTGAGCCACCCAGGCGCCCCTGACAAACTATTTATTAAGCCCTCACTCTATTCTAGGCACTGGTTAGACACGCAGAGAGGAGATTCAATAAATAACACCTCTTTTCACTGCCTAATACTGAACCCTTCAGGTGGGCAGTCTTCACTGCTAGTCTCAGGCAACACTAAGGACCAGGTGGTCAACACAGGGCCTGCCCCTATACTGTGAGTCAAAGGAACCAGCTGATAGACCGGACTGGGAGAGACTTGCTCTACCTCCTACAGGAAGGCTGATGTTATAGCAAGGAGTATGTCGCCCATGAAGGAGATGTCAGGGATGAATAAGAAGGTTCTCTCATCTGTCTCTGCCCCCACAGAAATCCATCTAGAACCACAGGGGAGCCTCCCCAATCCACAGAGGTACTGTTTCCTATCTCCCCAGCTTTTTGCTTCACATCCTCCAGTTCCTCTGATGAAGGGCAGAGGCTTCCTAGAAGCTGAAATTCCCTCTTCTGCCTCAGGTATATCAGCTCTGTGGCTCACTCTACTAGTCAGCTGACCAACCCCCTTCCACCGTCCTTCTCCCTGACCACCTCCCAGTGAGAGGTGGTCATATGACATTTTGGGTTTTGGATACTGAAATGTAGGTGGAAGTTCCTGGGGAGCATGCCATTCCCAATCTACAAGGCAGAGTCTTTCTAAAAGAGAAAATGTTTTTTGGCCCTTTGTTCTTCTTTCTTCCCGTCCGGAATGTGAAGATGGGGCCCAGAGAAGCGGTAGCCATCTTGCCATGAGGAGACAACACATTCAGGGAGGAAAAAGGACTGCCTGCTAGGAATGTGGAACAGAGCTGGAAAGTGCTTGGATCCCTGACTGACTACATTGTGGACTACCTTTATGGGATCAGGACCAGTTGTCTCAAAGATCCCAAATGATATGTGATTCTTGCTGTGTGCTATGGTCTGAGTGTCTGTGTCCCCTAGACTCATGTACTGAAATCCTAACCCCCAAGATGATGTTATTAGAGGTTGGGGCCTTTGGGAAGTGAATGGGTTTAGCATCCTATAAAAAAGGCCCTAGAAAGTTCTTTTGCCCTTTTCCCCAAGTGAGAACACAGTGAAAAGAAAGTCATCTATGAACTAGGAAGCTTTCCCTCACCAGATACTGAATCTTGGACATCCCAGCCTCCAGAACTGTAAGAAATAAATTTCTATTGTTTCTAAGCCACTTGGTCTATGATATTTCATCATAGATGCCCAAAAGGACTAAGATACCCTGTATCAAAACCTCAAAACACTGTATTTTAGTTATCAGGAGCTATATTTAATGTTTCAAATATTCTTTTGGAGACAAGTGTTTGATTTGACATGTTCTGACATCTAAGGAAAATGAAGGCTTTTAGAGTTAAATATTATTTAACTTGCTTTTTTGAGGCATGTATTAATACATATTAAAAGCTAAGGGAATGGGGGCACATAGGGGTGGAAGACTGAGAACAAGTTGAAGAATGGATGTCTGTATCCAGCACCACACTATTCCTAATTTCTGAGCTTTAAGGGAACTCAGGGATCTTCTAGTCTGAGGATTCCCAGACTGAGTCGCCAGGACTTCCCTGGGGGTGCTTCTAGAGGGATGTAGGGAAGTGGAGTAGATGGGCTCCAGACCCATCCTGGTTTAATCAGGACACCTCCACTTTTCCCTGAGCCCTTCTCTGGATTCCTGATTACAACTAATCCAAGTTGTCAAATGAAGTTTAAGACTACAGGTTTAGTCAAAATTAAGTTTAAAAACCACTTATCTTTCCCAATACACTTATTTTCTAAAAAAAGGAAGGTGACACCCAGCAAAGTTCAAGTGACTTGATCAATTGGCAGACTACAATACCCTCCCTTTCTGTTCCCAGTATATTGTTATTCCTGCATTAATGTTTTATTTCCATGGATTATTAAAGAGGGAATTTCCTCCAAATGTTATCTCTGCAAGAGTGGATTTCTTTGGCACAGCTCCTTATCCAGGAGCCTCCTGATAGGAATGCCACAGGCTGTAAACTCCATGACAGAGAAAAAGGACATAATGCAACTGAAAATTCCAGAGGTAGGTGGACTTTAGGTTCTATCTGATCAGGGTTTTCATTCCATAAGTTCCGCTCCCCATAGGCTAACTCAGTCTGGTTCCTTACATGATAGTTGTCTGAGGCTACAGGCATGAAGATCTTGAACAATCATGAAATAATCCTGACCTTTGCAATGATCAACCCACCTATGAACCAAAAACTGTAGCAAACTGTCCTTCTTTCTAAGGACAGCTGCCTTGTGTTCTTGCTGTCTGCTGAATGTTTTCTCTACCATGCCTGTGCTTATTCACAGTTTTTAAATATCTCTTTAACTTAATTATCTTGTATGATCTTGTGATGAATATCATTATGTTTCCCATCCTTCCTTTTCTGGTGGAGTGTTACCTGAGTTGTTTTCTTCCTAGTGCCTTATGATTGTGGGGTTCCATAACATGTTTCTTTAGTGTTGATTTCATTCTTGACATTGTTCAACCTGAAAATCTGAGTGGAAGTGCTCAGGTTTGGCAGCTTTCACCATCAAAGTGATC